TGGGATGTAACAGAATTTTCTTCCATGAGTCCTCATAAAGGGTACATTGTGTGATAAAGTAGCCAACAGCTAAAAAACACGGGTGTTAAAAAAATACAAGTTCTAACTCTTGTTCTTTTCCTTCTAGACAAATTGTACAGAAGCACAATACCAAAGGCAGTGCAGGACAGACGGCTGAATAAAGAGCAAAAGGTGGATCAAATGTGTACCTCTCTGAAGATCTTATGTTTTTAATGTGGCTACCATTGGTGTTTATTGTGGAGCCAACTAATATGAAATGATTCACGATTTCAATGTTTTCTCCATCAAGATGCTACCTTTTGGTCCAGTGGTGAAAATTTTTGTTTTCTTGATGTTAAAATACAATGCATATTGAAGGTTGTAGTCTTTGACCTTCTGCAGCAAATGGTTCAAGTCCTCTTCACTTTCTGCAAGTTAAGGTTGTGTTATCTACATAATGCAGGTTGTTGATATGTAACATAAGAAGAATCAATTTCTTTTTGAGTTGTGGTGTTGGAGAACAGCACTGAATATCCCTTGGACTTCCCAAAGAACAAATATATCTTGGAGCAAGCATGGCGAGTGTTCCTTGGAAGCAAAGATGATAAAGCTTTGTCTTACATACTTTGAGCCCATTGTTTCACAGAGCTGTTCCTTGGAAAATGGCAACATGTTTGCAAAGGTGAAGGGTGAGCAGAGAGGAAGATCCTCAACTTGACCGGCTGACACTGTGACTGTTGCAATGAACTCCAGTATGCCAGAGACGATAAAGATGGCATTAGAATAAGACAGGTTCAGATCTGTTCCCCCCCCCCCCCAGGTTTTTTACTCAAGCAATTGTATTTAATTCCTTACTCTGTTACCTGAAAACATTAGTGTAAAATTTAGAAATTTTTTTCTTTAAACATAGCAAAACCTCAGCCATAGAAAACCGTATGCAGCACAATTCTTCTCCAATCCCATGGGGCAGCTATCATTCCAAATCAATAGGAACTGCCCTCACTATAACCAGCCACGAGGCTGCTCCTGTTCTTTCCTTAACAAAAGGTTTTTTCTTTTCTTTCTTTTTTTTTATTTTCTTGGGTTTCTATACAATTCTGTTGCACTATGAAGCTCTCTCTTAAAGGGTAAAATTTAGTTTGCTCTCTATAGGAGCACTGGTGGCTTAGTGGGAAGGAACTGGATTGCCAACACAAAGGTACACAGTTGGAACCCACCAGCGCTCCTCCAAAGGTGGGCAGTCTCCTCCCATGCAAGTGACTCAGAAAACCTGCTGGAGAGTGAGCAATGGTAGTTCTAACTGTACTGTACACAACTCTGTACCAGTTGGGAATATACATTGGTTTCAATATAAACTCAAACCTTCTCTATTAGTGGTAAAAATCTTTTCCACTTTCTCCTTACTATAGAGTCAGAACCAAATCATAGCAGACCCTCCAGGGGGTTTTCAGAGGCTCTAAATTGCACTGGAAAAGAATGCCTTTCTTTCTCTCATGCAGCTGGGGGTGGATTCAGAGAGGTGGAGCCTTTGGGTTAAGAGCACAAGTCCCCACAGACAAGGCTCCTTTTACCTTTATAGGCATGCATTATTTTTAGACTTGGGCCACTGTTCTTTCCTTCCTAATATCTCAGTTGAACTTGACAAATATGCTACTTGAAGAACAGTTTTAATGTACCTTTGAATGGCTAATTTCAGAGTAGTTAATAGATAAAATACATCTTGAACAAACAAAAAATATTTATTAAAAGGCAATTTATATTGATGTTTCATGGCTAAACTACTTATATGTGAATTTAATCTTAAAAGGTTAAGTTGAAAGATAATCCACAAAAGTAATTTTCTGGTTCAGTTATGTTTAATTTCTTTAATATTGGTTACATCTGAAGGACACCTACTGACAAGGACTTAAGGTAATCAGTAATAAAATGTGCAAAGGTAAAAAGTAAACCAAAGATCTATTCCACACCTGGGAGAAGCAGGATTTAAATATAACTTACTATCAGGATATGAGAACATAAAAAGTGGAGGAGGAAAAAGATATTCAATATCTGAATAACATAGCTTTTGCTGTACAGAAAAAAAATATTAAATGAATATAATACTGGGAGTAAAATGCATCATAAAAATAAAGAAAAAAAAACCCTAAAGTCTAAATATAAGTAGTAAGTGGTTGACTTAACAGTGTCATTTTTCACCCATTCAAAACTTCAAATATCATCTTCTGAAAGGCCAGATTTTAAAAATGTGCCAGACATATATAGCACTATAATATCTGGAATTTAGCAAAAACCTTGTTTTATTAGACTGAAAATGGCATTGATTTAAATAGTTAATGATTGTTCTTTTACAACCATTTGTAAGGTCTTGAACAATTTTTAAATAAACAAGTATAAACCAATTTATTATATTGTTTTCAAGGATAGTAAACACACTTAATATACTTTGGCTAGTATGTATTTTGATAAAGACTAATGAAAAGTTTGGTACTTTGGTAAAAGGTAGTCTCCTTTATAGATCAAAGGTTAATAATAGCCATTGACCTATCTCAGAATTTTAAATGACCTTTTTAATATGTACATCAAGATATAGTCATGTGCCACATAACTTCAGTTTAGACAGAATCCTACTGCATATACTTGTGTGGTCCCATAAGAAAGTTCAGAAACCCCCATCGGAGAACAAAATACACAAACAGAACAGTTTTTCATATGCAACACACATCTCTCTAAACAATACAAAGTAATTGTGCTGCCAGGAGTATGATGGTACTGTATATATACATAAAACCTGTAATGTAATGACTTATATATGTGTTGGACTTCCTACCTACAGTTTGCCATATAACAATGTATGCAGCAGCACTGATTTTTGCATAATGTGTGTCTCTTCGGTGTTGTCCAGTTATCTGTTAATTTTCTTTTGAAAATACTATTGTGAAATATATTGTGGCTTCAAATCCCAGCAAAATCAGTGCTGGTGGTAGCAGCAGCAAAAGGCAAACAAGTATTGATTTGGTAGTGAGACAAAGACTATCAAAGAACTTGAAGTCAGAAAAATCAGTGAATACTACTGCTCGCGATTTAGAAATGTTGTACTTGTCAGCAAAACCAAAAAAATTCTTCCACCTGTCAAAGAAATGGGTTCACGAAAAGCTACAAGGCTTATGAAATGCAAGATGGACTTGAACCAGAAAAGGAGAAATTACTAATGAGGTGTAACGATAGCCAAACACCGACCTGAAACCCCTTGTAGTACACTGAGAGTCACTGGGAAGGCACGGAGCTCCTTGGAGATGCTTTAGGAGGAAATAGGACCACACTATGAAAAAGGGTTTACACAATTTCCAAGGTACATAATGTTCTGTTTTACAGAACGTCTTGTGGATGTTAAGCAACACATGACTGTACTGATAAAACTTTTACATAGTAAAGAAAAAAAATTGGAGACTTTTTTCCATTACCTTCAGTTTTATAAAGCATTGCAGTTCAATATACCAAAAGGGATTTCAAAATGCAAGCACAATTACAATGCATATTAATAGCAACAGTTGAAACAGTAGAAATAGAAAATTAATTTCATACTATAAAAATGAAGCAAGGCACTTTCAATAACTAAACGTAAAGCTGAAATAAGCATAAAACATTTTCATAAAGCTGAGCAACTCAATGACCCTAGGACACTTCTGTAAAACGTGTAAGTGTAAAGGCACTACCTACTTCTTTCTTCCAACTCCACTTTTTAAAGGAATTTACCAATTAAACTTGGCACAAAAGTTTTAAGTATCATAAAGTGCATCACTTGGCTAACTATATGAAAAAGAAAATCAGCCATAATACATTATACCAACATCATTACATATTTGGAAATAAAAATGCAATACTAGAGAAGTTAACCTAGCTATGAACTTTGTAACATACATATATTTATATATATACCCCCCATATATATATGGCTTTTTTCTTTTTGTATAATTTCCTATTTGCTTGGAATCTATATTTTCAAGAGTATGCCTTGATTAGAAAAAGAGGTAGTCTTCTGAAAAAGGCAAACTCATTGATTCCCAAAGGTAAAGATTTAAAACGATATGGAAAATAAGCATAACATAATAAGTTAGGGTATAGTATTATAAAGCTCCAAAATGAAACCCACTGCCATCTCATCCATTCTTACTAATAATGATCTTACAGGAGAGCAGAAATGCTCCAGAGTGTTTCCAAAGCTGCATGCAGACCTTTATGGATGCACTCTGCCACATCTTTAACTCATGGAACTGCTGGCAGGTGTGATCTGCTGAGCTTCAGATTAGCAACCGACTGCTTAAACCACAATGCCACCAGAGCTTCCAAACGATATTACAGGTCCTGATACTTATGAATTAGCTTTTAAAATCGTGGCTATTTTAATCAGTAAACTGGGTGATTATAGCTCTTTCACAGAGTTTTCCTTTGGTACTAGAAAGTAATTTCTTTTAGAAAGCATTTACATTTCAAAGAACTAATTTTCATTTAGAGATGATAAAACTGTCAACACTTACAATTCAACTTATCTTTATGATGTTCATTAATCTAAAATAATTAATGAAAGTACATCATGTCAGAGATACAAAGAAATACATATCACTTAGAAACATGCAAGTAATTTTTGTTTGACTATTATAACTGGTGACTAAAAAATACATGTATATGTTAGTGTGGGGAAAATATAATGGGAAAACATCACAAACATTCATGTACAGTATTTGAGAATGTGAACCTTGATAACAGAATTCTAAACAGATTAATTTTTCAGTGTATTCAATATAAAATCTGGATAAAAGGATGATTAAAACCAGCAGGGAATATATTTCCTATGACAATAATTTAAATACTTCTAATGTAAACTTTATACATGCATATTGTCTCCATCCTTTTAGTTTTTTAAAATGAAACAAAAATCTTGCCACTCAATTCTAAATAAAACATTGAAATGCTAAAATATAGAGGGAGATGCTTGAGATGTATTAGTCTTCTTCAGCATAGTATGCTACTTCGGCTACTTCTATCTCTGATACAGGATTTTCAAGTTCACTATGACTTAAGCAAGGCATATTATTAGCTCTGCAAAAGAAAGAAACATACATAGTAAGAGAGTGGATGAATAGTATTTCATTTCACTACTACTTTTACAAATATCTTACCTTATGTAAAAAACCCAAATATTTTAATATTCAATCAGAAATGTAAAATCTTCAACTTGTCACCGCCAATTAAAATTTTTGAAGAGGTATCTTTAACTCTGATATGTTTAAACAACCATTTGCCAATAAAACTCCATTTGTAATTAGTTTAGCTAACATAAAATTTGATCTTAGGAATTTAACTACTACTCATAAAGTGCTAACAAATGTCTTTGATTTACATGCAAAAACAATTCCAAGAGTTTCAAGGATATATTTTTTTCATTATTCCTATTAGATAGGTCGGGTAGTTGCTTTAATGTTCCACTGTTTGAATGAAGATGAAAGTATTTTAACATTTAAAAAATTAAAGAAAGAATGGGCCCAGTTAATTCAGACATAGTTTCAAAGTAAGCAATGATAAAGTTGTGGCTTTTAGCTTAGATGCCAGAAGAAGAAAGCTTGGAATTATCTACAGTTCTTTCCTGGTGCCTAGAAGAAAATGGTAAATTAATTGGGTTCATTTAAAAGAAGAATAAAAAACCAAAAACCCATACAGAGCCATCTCCTTCCAACTCAAATTGCTGTTAATAAATAAAACATTATATACCTAGAATAAAACATTATATACCTAGATTCTTCATCCAAGATACCTTGCTCTGACGCCAAAGCACAGGACTGCACCGTTAGGATTTGTCCACCTTCTGTTCCTGACATGTACAAAGATTCTTCAAGTTCTATAGACAAGTTTCTACAGGCAAATGACAGAAAAAGTTAATTTCTTGGAATAAAACATTCATACATTTACAGTTGTGAAAACATGTGGCATTAGGAGTTTTTTAGGTACTAAATCTTAGCGCAGTTATATAGTTAATAAATTGCTGAGTCTGAGTGCTATCAGAGCAATAAAATTAGTACTTCTTGTTATGTGCCATTGAGTCGTCTGTGACTCATAGCCACCCGATGTATGTACAACAGGTCTGACGCCTGCCCTGTCCTGAGTCAGTTTCACTGACTCCAACAATACCTACCCCCATTACCCCAGTTATTGTGTCAATCCATCTCATGCGGGGTCTTTCTGTCCTGAGCTGTCCCTCAAACTTTCCAAGCATGATGTCCTTTTCCAAGGACATGTCCCTCCTGCTCACATGCCCAAAGTATGTGGAATAGAGCTTCAAAATCCTTGCCTCAAATAAGATACTTGGTTTCACACTCGATAGACCTGTTTTTTTTTTCCTTGGTGGTCCATGGTATTTTCAATATTCTTCTCTAGAACAGTACCTCACAGGTATCAATTCTTCTTCTGTCATCTTTGGTCACTGTCCAGCTCTCTGATGCACAGCAAGTCATTGAAAAAATCATAGTCTTGATCAGGTGCACCTTAAGTCTCTAGACTGACATTGTTGCTCCTCAGTACTCTGGAGATGTTCCTGACAGAGTTTCCCAGTGCAATTCATCTTCTGAGTTCCTGAATACTGGTGCCAAGAGTGCTGATTGTGGAGCTAAGCAAGCTGAAATTGTTAACAACCTCAATCTCTTCTCCATCCATCATGGTGCTGCCAATTGGCCCTGTGGTGAGAATCTTTGGCTTCTAGATGTTGTACTTTAATCTATTTTGAACTTAATAATTAATTAAAAATAATTCTAGAGTCTATTCAGTAAATGCTGATGAGAGGGTAAACTAGAACTTTCATGAGTAAAAGACCAAAATCCAACAAACTCACCACTGTGGAGTTTTGAGCCATAATGACCTTAAAGGACAGAATGTAACTGTCATTCAGAGTTTCCAGGGCTATAAATGTTTATGGAAACAAATGGCTTCATCTGTCTTCCTCAGAAAGTGATTAATTCAAAAGAAGACTGATGTTCTGGCTAGCCACCTAACGCAAATTCACCGTGCCACCAGGGCTCAGAAACAAGACATAATTAAAGTAAGTTAAAATGAGAAACATTTATTTTGTTGAATAGCTAGAATTACTTCTCTGAATTTTTCCCATCCTTTAAATAATCAAGACAGTTTTCTCTCAAACAGAGAAGCCAAGAGCTGACAACTTTTAGAAGCATTAATTTCCTCCATCATATTTAGACACAAAAGATACTTAATCCTGAAAAATAAAAGTTTACTTATCACACTAAAATTGCAAGGTATCATGGACACACCGGATTCTGTTCTCTATAGTATCTATGTGAAGTTGCTTCTCATGTAGCAGTTTCTTCAGTGATTCCACCTCTTTTTGCTTTTCAAGTAGTTCTTTCTGCAAGCGGTAGTTTGTTTCTTCTAAAGTTTCACAGAAGGCCTAAACATAAAACAATAATTAACCAACCACATAGAGAAAAAAGGATACAATTACTTATGCAGTCTTTTCTCAAGATCATTCCCAAAGAGTTAAAGAACATTTGATCTCTCTCATCTTTTCAGTAAGGTCTCTGCTATCTCAGTTCTCATTCTTTAGTAGCCACCCATTAGGGAGATAGTTCATGAGTTATTACAGCAATAAGCCTGTGTGTTTTGAGAGGTTATTTCATATCCTTCTTTAGCTTTTGCAGAAAAATAGACTAATAAAAACTGCTACACTTTCTCTTTTCTGTAATCTACTTTTCCCCAGCCCTACTTGATTAGAATTTTCAAACTGTGGCTATTGATTTCCTTTGTATTAGCTCAAAAGACATCCTGCTGTAACAATGCCCTGATGGCACTTTCAACAGCATTTCCCTTCTGCTTCTCTTTTCACCATTTACTCAAAACCTACTGAGTCCACATTCCCTGCTTCTAAATCCAAGACGTTTAACACTGATGGAAAAAGAAAAGAAAACAAAATCATATTACCATGAAGAATGATACCACAAAAAATTTTCAATGCTGCTGATCACTCTTTTTCATGCTCCTATTAGCTACCATTTCTTATTTCCTCTGTGACTATTTCAAAATTGCATAAAACTAGTCAAAATGTACTATCAAATCTGTCTGTGAATCTAGCCAATTGCTTCAAGAAATAGGCCACTTTAATACGTCAATTAATGTAATATGAGTAGAATCTGGCATGAGGTGAACTCATTAACAGGACAATCACTTCTGTGTCAGATAATAAAACAATCATTTTAATTTTGCTTTTAACAGTAGGTTCTTTCTTTTGCCACTTACATGACCTAAAATTCAACAGAATTTTAAATGTAGTAAAATAAATTTCCAGAAGAATATTTGTCTTTATAATAAAGAGCACAGCACACTATTTGGAAATTCATTATCAAAGCAATATGAATTACTTTTTTCTTTTTTTCACTTACACTTTCACTTATATGTGTATTTCAAAAGAAATAAGACTTTGACTAAAATATTAAAAGCTTTCTGGATAAAACTACCCAAGTCTGAAATGGTATTTTGCTACTACATTCAAGAAACAATGCAGCTATTGTGCTGTATTATTTATTACTCTTTATGTGATATGTAATATAGCACTTACTCTACTTTCTTCTAGGCTATCAAATGGACCTGGTGGATCATCCAGACAAAGAAATTCTCTCACTGCAAGGCTTTTCAAAAAGGAAAAAAAGAAAAACTAAGCTAGTACACAAGTGAGTTTTTAAATGACAGCAAAAAGCAAAGCGGTTGGTTCTCTACCAAAATAAGCACGTTGACTATGAGATTGCCCATCCTTCTCCCACATGTTTATACAAGTAACCAAATATAAATATCGAAGCGATAAAAGATACAAAGATTTTAAGTAATTTCCACAGATCTTATAAATATAAATGGATTGAGAATTTAGTTACATAAAAACTACAGAAAACAGAAGTTCAGAATAATAGTACAAGCGACAAGAACAAATGTTTACTTTTAAGAAAATAACTCTCAAGCATTATTTTTTTAGCTTCTTGTTGTATACTATCAAGTCAGAATCGACTGGTTTTAACTAGACAAAAAAATGATTATCTTGTTAAAAATAACTAGTACTTAAAATTTGTACTTCATTTATTTTTGTCAGTGAATGCTTATAAAATATTTAAAAGTATCTTTCTATTTCTGATTTAAAAACATTGTTTTGTAATTACACCTCTTTTGCTTCTGCAGGATTCAAAGGCAAAAGGTCCTAATTCCAAGCTCTACTCTTATCCAGTGAAAAATACATCCCGATCCAGGTAAAGGCACTGAGAGAGAAGTATTTGAGAAAACTAGCCCTTCTTTCAAAAAAATTGTGAGGTATGTTCACACCCTAGAAAAGGATGCCATGATTACTGTTTTGATCAAGTCAAAGGGGGGAGACTGCTCATTTGTGTCCTTGGGAGCAACTGGTGCATTTGAATTGTCAGAGAAACCTAGCTTTGGGTAAACAGTACAACTCCCTCCAGATTAGATCAGCCGCCTATCTTCTTGCTTTGACTATACAATAGAAAAGTTACTTAATATTCAATAAATATTTATTGAGTGCCTGTGTGTGCATGCTTTATGTTGTGCGGCTAACCAAAAGATCAGCAGTTCAAATCCTCTATTTGCTCCTCAAGAAAGACAGGTAGTCTCCTCCTGTGAAGAATTACAACCCTGGTAATTTGATGGAGGGTCAATAAGTAAGAATCAATCAGCTATCCCACTACTTGGAATACACCCTGAGAAAATGAGAACTGAGACACAAACCAAGATTTGTACACCAATGTTCATAACAGCATTATTCACCATCGCAAGACCATGGAAACAGCCCAAATGTCCAACCACAAATGGATTGAGCAAGTGTAGTATATTCACACAATGGAATACGATGCAGCACGCAAGAGCAATAATTTTGTAAATTATTACCTAACTTGGGAGGTACTAGAGAGCACTATGCTGAGTGAACTAACTCAGTACAACTTGATTGGGGGGGGGGGGGAGGGTTTCAATTAGATGGTAATAGGTTTTTGGTGCATTAAATTTCTGCTTATTGCTTTTATGTTACACTATGAGCTACAAACAAATGAAGGAAAGTAAAATAATGTGTAAATATCTAAGACTATACAATTAAACAGGGAGCTCTAGTAGCCTAGTTGGTAGAGATGCACTATGAAACCAAAGGCTATAATCTTTAATATTCCGTATGAAATGTTTTACATCTTCACTTTCTGCAAGCAAGATGGTGTCATATACATAATATAGGTTGTTACACACTATACAACTATAAACATACATTGAATTCTCAAAACTTGTAAGAGGTTCTTTTCTATTTGACATGTTCTTGTTATGTGCTGTTGAATTGCCTGCGTATATGTGTAACAATATACATGCCTATGTATACTACAGTATGGACTGAGGCTCAATGTCAAGAAGACAAAGATTCTCAACACTGGACCAATCGGTAGCATCAGCATGGATGGCGAAGAGATTGAGATTGTTCACAGCTTCAGTTTGCTCGGCTCCACGGTCAACACTCTTGGCACCAGTAGCTAGCAAATCAAAAAACGTATTGCGATGGGAAAGTCTGCTGTTAGGGACCTCTCTAAAGTACTCAAAAGCAACGGTGTATCTCTGGAGACTAAGGTGCATCTGATACAGGCCATGGTCTTTGCAATTACTTGTTATGCATCAGAGAGTTGGACAATGACTGGGGAGGATAGGAAAATTGATGCCTTTGAGCTGTGGTGCTGGAGCAGAGTACTGAATGTACCACGGACTGCCAAGAAAACAAACAGATTCATCCTGGAGAGGGTTAAACTGGGCTATTCCTTGGAGGCAAGGATTCCGGGGCTTCATCTGACATACTTTGGACATGTTGTAAGGAGGGACAGATTCTTGGAGAGGGACATCATGCTTGGGAGGGTGGAAGGACAGCACAGGAGGGGAAGACCCTCTATGAGGTGGATTGATTCACTGAATGGGGTAATTGGGATGGGTGTATCAGAGGCAGAGCACAGGATAGAGCAGGGTTTAGGGCTGTTGTACATAGGGTTGCTGTGAGTTGCAAGCGACTTGAAGGCATATTAACAACAATATATAACAATCCTAAACCCTGATCTATCCTGTGCCAATCTTACTGTCTCTGACACACCTACCTCCAATATCCCAGTTACTGAATCAATATATCTCACTGAGTTTCTACCTCTCCTGCACTGTCCTTCCACCCTCTCAAGCATGACATCCCTCTCCAAGGACTGGTCCCTCCTTGCAACATGTCCAAAGTATGTCAGAAGCAGCTTCAGAATCCTTGCCTCCATGGAGCAGCCTGGTTTCACCCTCTCTAGGACAAACCTGTTTGTTCTTTTAGCAGTCCATGGTATACTCAATACTCTTCTTCATCACCAGAGCTCAAAGGCATCAATTTTCCTTCTATCATCTGAAGTCATTGTCCAGTTCTCTGATGCGTAACAAGTAATTGCAAAGACTATGGACTGGATCAGGCGCACCTTAATCTCCAGAATGACATTTTTTTTCTTTCAGTACTCTGGAGAGGTCTCTGACAACAGACTTTCTCAGTGCAATTCATCACATTTGATTTCCTGGCTGCCGGTACCAAGAGTGTTGACTGTGGTGACAAATAAAAACTGTTAACAGTCTTAATCTCCTCATGATGCTGCCAAATGGCATAGCTTTTTAAAAAATTTATTTCCTTATTTTGTAGTCTCTGAACATATTTTAAAATGATACTGTTAAATTGTTCAATCCACCAGTCCTTAATATTGTTTCAGATCATACTTTCTTCCATTTCTGTTTTCGGACAGTTAGGACAGGTTTAATATCAACAGTTGCCAGTTGTATAAAAGCAAGCTTTTAGCCAACAAGAAAGGCAGACAACTATTGTGTAAGAGAAAAAGAAATAAAAAATAAATGAATTATGTAATACTAATTCTTTGGCAATATAAACAGTCATATTTTCTACAATGCCATTCTAGCCGTAAGAATGCTAACAGGTACACTTGCAGGTAACTAACTGATGTTTTAAGCAGTAATCTTCAAATGCAGTTTTATGGCTTCATAAAGGCCTCTGGTTGGAACAAATGGTTTGTGCTCAGCTGCCAAGCAAACTGTTGTCAGTTCACGCAGTCTCATCAGCAAAGAAAAGGCCTGGTGATGCACAGCTTACAGCCAAGCAAACGCTACGGAGCAATTCTATTTTATAAACTACACAGGGATGTCACGCGTCACAATTAATGGCACAAAACAACAGTTCTCTGCCCATCAACAAATGAATGGCTAGAGAAGCTGTGGTATATTCACACAATGGAATACTATGCTGCATTAAAAAACAAGGAACTCATGCAGTATTACTCAAAATGGTTGACTCTGGAGAACATTATGCTGAGTGAAATGTCCCAGTCACAAAGGGACAA